TCCCCCCCACTCATCTCTCTGCATTTTAGAGAAAAAATTAGTAGAGCAAAATTAGTAGAGCAAAAGTTAGTTAGGGCAGCAGGGTTTAATTAGTGTAGATGCTGCTTGTATAGTATATAGTGATACTAGTAGATGTTAATTAGGTTAGGGCAATAGTGGTACTAGTAGATGTTAATTAGATGTTTTTCAGTTAGGGAACTAGAGTTTTGCTAGGTTAATTAGGTTAGTAGTGCTGCTAGTACTAGTGGTACAGTAGGTTAATTAGGTGATGTTAAATGAATAACCTAAATGAATGAATTAGTAGTTAACTGAAAAAAAATTCCTTTCATCATTATAGAGCACTAAAGTTAACTGAATTTTGTTCTATTAGTAGTTAAATGAATTCTCTTCTACACTTTCTTTTTGAATTAGCTTGTGAAATTTGGACATGTGGTTGCTCGTGTATATTTGGACACTGTTTCCAGGGATTGATGCTTAGTGGCCTATGTTTTGCCGGATTGTTGATTCATTTCTTTTCCGGCAAATTTCAGGTTCTCGATTTGTCCACTTTTTAGCAAAGGTCATGCCGAAATTTTTCGTGAATTTGGCAATGACTTATGCTACAAACTAGGACATATCGAGTGCCCGTGATTTGCCGCACCAGGAAGGAGTCAATATTCCTGCAAAACAATAGGCCTTTTTAATGTCATTATTCATTTTATTAGGTCTAGAATTAATTGACTAGATTTAATCATAGGAAACATGGCTAGCAACGATGAAGGACAGGGTTCTGGTGATTGCGATGACGCCTATCGGGCGGCAGATGAATTTTTTAGCCTTACCGACGATCAACCGATGTTATTGCTGGGCCCATCAGTGGCATCGGGGACTGAGACCGACACGCAGACCGGTGCTGAGACTGAGACCGGCGCCTCAGACTCAGACCGGCATCGAGACCGGCGCTGAGACTGAGACCGGCGCTGCCTCGGGGAGCAGAGCCGGTGTAGAACCGAAAGCAAAGAGGCAACGGGTTCCTACCAAACTCAGGACTACTAGAGTGGTGGTCACGAAGGTGGACGACGGCAATTTTGAGCCAACGGCATCCGAGGAAGCGCGACGATGCTACGACAATCAAATAGGCTGCATCGTACGGACAAGCGTCACCATCAACGATGAGAAACTACGGAAGATAGAAAATATGAGGAGCTCCCTCCTAAAGAAGTTTCACCAGATATTCTTGTTCCCGGGCCGAAATGAGAATCTCTACTCCTAATGAAGCAGTTGGTAGTCTTCGCCGGTCAATTTTCGTCCCACCACTTTCGTCCGGTTTTTTTTCGTCGGTTAACCTTCGCCCACCTCCCACCACCCCGTGCAAAACCAAAAAAACATACGCCACCATCCGTCTCTCGATCCACCCGATGCGGCCGCCCTATCTCCCTCGTCTAGGGATGCAACGCCGCCCCAATCTCCCCGCTCCACCGCCGCCGCCCCCCGCCTTCCACTATCACCCGCTCAGCCACCTCCACCCTCCTCTACATCGCCGGAGGAACGGGCACACCTGGCGCGCCGCCTCGAGGCCGCGCTCGAGCAGGTGAGGAGGGAGTCGGTGCGGCAGGGCGCGACCCTGGACGAGCTGAGGCGGCGGCTCGAGCGGCGGCGGGCGCGTGCGGACGAGCTCCTCGTCGCCAGGCGGAGGGCCACCGAGGGCGTCGAGCGCCGCAAGGAGCAGATGCAGGCGCAGATCGAGCGGGTGCTGCCGCTCTCCAGGGCCCTCGCCGCCGCGCACCGGCAAGTGCAGGTACCTGCCTGCCCGCCCGTTTCTTCCTCTCAACGCGAGACTGGAATGCTTTGGCTATTGTGGCTGCCTGCGTTTGGTCCAATAGCATCTGTCAATAGCAAGGTCTGTACTATATACTGATACATTATGTAGCAACACTCTGTTTGTGCACTATCCTATTCATGATGTTTGCTTCATGATATAACAACAATTTTACTTCATCTTACTCTGTATACTTATGTCCTCTCTTTAGTTATACTTCTCTCGGGCTGACAAATTTCAATGCAGGCAGGGGTCTGGAAGTGCATGCCGCAGTATATACGGTGGATTTGTGAAATGGTGTATGGAAAAGTAAGTTTTCTCTTGGTTAAGGCAGAGAAATTGAATTGCTTAATATGCATGTTTTTCTATTGTAAAACGATTGAGTTTGACCCTATACTTGTAGAATGATGATGGAAGTGACAGTATGGCAGTACAGCTTGTTGACGAATTGCATTGGGATGATCTTGTTATAATCATAGCAGTGGTATGTCAATGTGATCTCTGTTGTATAACAGATATTGCTCATCGAGTCATGGTTCCATTAACACCAATCCTTAACTATATAGTGACACCGTTTTACCATTTTTATCCCAACATCTTTCTCTTATTATGTTGCTTAGTGGAATTAGGTCAGTTCAAAGCAGAAGGAAACCAGTAGCACCAGTGGGATGCGGGACACTGTTGAAACAAGCCCCCTCTTGCAGTACAGGGCCCAGGTGATTGCATTTTCATCTTTAACTTGTTTTTGGCACATATAGTACAATTTTTTTACGAATCATCAAGGAAACAAAATATCCCTCCTCTTGTGTGGACCCTCAAGTTTTGTTGTTTCAATTTTTTTAAAGTCTTTTGGCCATTTATCTCTTTAGCTGCAGCTTACTGTTTCTTGCTCTCACTCTGCACTGCACTACTTTTTCTTATATTCCAGACTGTAGTGCCAAGTCACATATTGAAAATGGAAGAGGCCATCAAGAATTGTGAATTTGAATCCTTTGCCAGGTTAACTTGTGCAGATAGCAACCAGTTTCATGTTGTATGTTTGGACACGAGTCCTCCCATGTTCTACATGAATGATACGTCACACAGGTAGTTTTTTGGCAGTCCTGATTTTGAGGTTCTGTTAGTACTGAAATCCCAGAGTTGAGGATCGCTCTTTCAACCAACTGCAGGATAATTAGCCTTGTGGAGAAGTGGAACCACTCGGAAGGAACCCCACAGGTATATTCTGTTCCTGTTTAACACTTGCTACCTTGTTTAAATTCTTCTGACCTGCGTCAGTGCTGCATATAGGGTTCTAAAATAGGGTTGGTTAAGCTTTGTTATGATATGCCAGTACAATAAGTTTTCACTGAACTGGATATAACATGTTTAACTAGCATCACACAATGAAGTAATTTAACTCAATTTAAAAGAGCAACAAAATTATTGCCATCTTTCTGAAAAAGGTCCAGAAAATACGAGTTTAAGCTTCCAATCCTTTGGTTTTTAGGGAACATATAGTTCAGTTTGAAGAGTTCATGATGAAAACATATTCCCGCAGCCACTGCCTCCTCGATCTACGCTAGCCTGGAGCAGCAAGGTCAGCCCCCACACTCTGCATTTTTTTCTTCAGGTCTTGGCATAGGAAACTGAAAAGGAGATGCTCCTAAAGTCACCACATTTAGGAAAATAT